GAAGAAGGCTCATAACGATCCAGAAAAAAATCTGAATCTATTGGATCAGTATCATGTTGTCCTGTATAAAAAATATTAAAAGTCACTTCCCTGACCGGGAATCGAACCCGGGCCGCGGCGGTGAGAGCGCCGAATCCTGACCACTAGACCATCAGGGACACACAACCTCATTGTTTTTTGGCCATTTTTTGTCATTTTTAAATGCTATCACTTTTAATCATATTGATTTGGAAACACAACCTTCTGATCAGGAATCAGATGCACTACCGTTGCACCACAAGGTCTTATATGAGGATTTCTGGAAGAAGGCTCATAACGATCCAGAAAAAATCAGAATCTAGTGGATCAATAACTTCTTGTCGTGTATCAAAAATATTAAAGGGGACTTCCCTGACCGGGAATCGAACCCGGGCCACGGCGGTGAAAGCGCCAAATCCTGACCATTAGACCATCAGGGACACACAATCATCAATATTTTTTTGGCCATCATTTTTTTTTGCCATTTTTAAATGCTATCACTTTTAATCATATTTCCTGCCAATTTCCAGTAATGTCTTTTTGATTATCTAGAAGAGCAAAACTCAAATTATATTACTTTTAGAAAACTCTATAGTATTAAAGTTTTCTGCACTCCCAGCATTGACCTTGATGTGACTAAAAGTTTTCTGAACTCCCAGCAATGACCTTGATGTGACTTGAACACACAACCTTCTGATCTGGAGTCAGACGCGCTACCGTTCCGCCACAAGGTCTTATTAAGATATTTTATTGAAGAAGGCTCATAACGATCCAGAAAAAAATCTGCATCTATTGGATCAGTATCATGTTGTACTGTATAAAAAATATTAAAAGTCACTTCCCTGACCGGGAATCGAACCTGGGCCGCGGCGGTGAGAGTGCCGAATCCTGACCACTAGACCATCAGGGACACACAACCTCATTGTTTTTTGGCCATTTTTTGTCATTATTAAATGCTATCACTTTTAATCATATTGATTTGGAAACACAACCTTCTGATCTGGAATCAGATGCACTACCGTTGCACCACAAGGTCTTATATGAGGATTTCTGGAAGAAGGCTCATAACGATCCAGAAAAAATCAGAATCTAGTGGATCAATAACTTCTTGTCGTGTATCAAAAATATTAAAGGGGACTTCCCTGACCGGGAATCGAACCCAGGCTACGGCGGTGAAAGCGCCAAATCCTGACCACTAGACCATCAGGGACACACAATCATCATTATTTTTTGGCCATCATTTTTTTTTGCCATTTTTAAATGCTATCACTTTTAATCATATTTCCTGCCAATTTCCAGTAATGTCTTTTTGATTATCTAGAAGAGCAAAACTCAAATTATATTACTTTTAGAAAACTCTATAGTATTAAAGTTTTCTGCACTCCCAGCATTGACCTTGATGTGACTTGAACACACAACCTTCTGATCTGGAGTCAGATGCGCAACCGTTGCGCCACAAGGTCTTTTATGAGGATTTCTGGAAGAAGGCTCATAACGATCCAGAAAAAATCAGAATCTAGTGGATCAATAACTTCTTGTCGAGTATCAAAAATATTAACGGGGACTTCCCTGACCGGGAATCGAACCCGGGCCACGGCGGTGAAAGCGCCGAATCCTGACCACTAGACCATCAGGGACACACAATCATCAATATTTTTTGGCCATCATTTTTTTTGCCATTTTTAAATGCTATCACTTTTAATCATATTTCCAGCGAATTTTCAGTAATGTCTTTTTAAATATCTAGAAGAGCAAAACTCAAATTATATTACTTTTAGAAAACTTTATAGTATTAAAGTTTTCTGCACTCCCAGCATTGACCTTGATGTGACTTGAACACACAACCTTCTGATCTGGAGTCAGATGCGCAACCGTTGCGCCACAAGGTCTTATTATGATATTTTATTGAAGAAGGCTCATAACAATTCAGAAACAAATCTGAATCTATTGGATCAGTATCATGTTGTCCTGTATAAAAAATATTAAAAGTCACTTCCCTGATCGGGAATCGAACCCAGGACGCGGCGGTGAGAGCACCGAATCCTGACCACTAGACCATCAGGGACACGCGACCTCATTGTTTTTTGGCCATTTTTTAGTCATTTTTAAATGCTATCACTTTTAATCATATTGATTTGGACACACAACCTTCTGATCTGGAATCAGATGTGCTACTGTTGCACCACAAGGTCTTATATGTGGATTTCTGGAAGAAGGCTCATAATGATCCAGAAAAAAAAATCAGAATCTAGTGGATCAGTAACTTCTTGTCGTGTAACAAAAATATTAAAGGGAACTTCCTTGACTGGGAATCCAACCAGGGCCATGACGGTGAAAGCGCCGAATCCTAACCACTAGACCATCAGGGACACACAATCATGAATATTTTTTCGGCCATCGTTTTTTTTTGCCATTTTTAAATGCTAACACTTTTATTCATATTTCCTGCCAATTTCCAGTAATGTCTTTTTAAATATCTAGAAGAGCAAAACTCAAATCATATTACTTTTAGAAAACTTTTTAATATTAAAGTTTTCTGAACTCTCAGCATTGACCTTGATGTGACTAAAAGTTTTATGAACTCCCAGCAATGACCTTGATGTGACTTGAACACACAACCTTCTGATCTGGAGTCAGACGCGCAACCGTTGCGCCACAAGGTCTTATTATGATATTTTATTGAAGAAGGCTCATAACGATCCAGAAAAAAATCAGAATCTATTGGATCAATATGAAGTAGTCCTGTAAAAAAAATTTTAAAAGTCTCTTCCCTGACCGGGAAGCGAACCCGGGCCGCTGCGGGGAGAGCACCGAATCCTATGCTATCACTTTTAATCATATTGATTTGGACACACAACCTTCTGATCTGGAATCAGATGCACTACCGTTGCACCACAAGGTCTTATATGAGGATTTCTGGAAGAAGGCTCATAACGATCCAGAAAAAATCAGAATCTAGTGGATCAATAACTTCTTGTCGTGTATCAAAAATATTAAAGGGAACTTCCTTGACCGGGAATCCAACCAGGGCAATGGTGGTGAAAGCACCGAATCCTAACCACTAGACCATCAGGGACACACAATCATGAATATTTTTTCGGCCATCATTTTTTTTTGCCATTTTAAAATGCTAACACTTTTATTCATATTTCCTGCAAATTTCCAGTAATGTCTTTTTAAATATCTAGAAGAGCAAAACTCAAATCATATTCATTTTAGAAAACTTTTTAATATTAAAGTTTTCTGAACTCCCAGCATTGACCTTGATGTGACTAAAAGTTTTCTGAACTCCCAGCAATGACCTTGATGTGACTTGAACACATAACCTTCTAATGTGGAGTCAGACGCACTACCGCTGCGCCACAAGGTCTTATTATGATATTTTATTGAAGAAGGCTCATAACGATCCAGAAAAAAATCTGAACCTATTGGATCAGTATCATGTTGTCCTGTACAAAAAATATTAAAAGTCACTTCCTTGATCGGGAATCGAACCCAGGCCGCGGCGGTGAGAGCACCGAATCCTGACAACTAGACCATCAGGGACACACGACCTCATTGTTTTTTGGCCATTTTTTAGTCATTTTTAAATGCTATAAACTTTTAATCATATTGATTTGGACACACAACCTTCTGATCTGGAATCAGATGCGCTACCGTTGCACCACAAGGTCTTATATGTGGATTTCAAGGAAGAAGGCTGATAATGATCCAGAAAAAAAATCAGAATCTAGTGGATCAGTAACTTCTTGTCGTTTAACAAAAATATTAAAGGGAACTTCCTTGACCGGGAATCCAACCAGGGCAATGGTGGTGAAAGCACCGAATCCTAACCACTAGACCATCAGGGACACACAATCATGAATATTTTTTCGGCCATCATTTTTTTTTTGCCATTTTTAAATGCTAACACTTTTATTCATATTTCCTGCCAATTTCCAGCAATGTCTTTTTGATTATCTAGAAGAGCAAAACTCAAATTATATTACTTTTAGAAAACTCTATAATATTAAAGTTTTCTGCACTCCCAGCATTGACCTTGATGTGACTTGAACACACAACCTTCTGATCTGGAGTCAGACGCGCAACCGTTGCGCCACAAGGTCTTATTATGATATTTTATTGAAGAAGGCTCATAGCGATTCTGAAACAAATCTGAATCTATTGGATCAGTATCATGTTGTCCTGTATAAAAAATATTAAAAGTCACTTCCCTGACCGGGAACCGAACCCGGGCCGTGGCGGTGAGAGCGCCGAATCCTGACCACTAGACCATCAGGGACACACGACCTCATTGTTTTTTGGCCATTTTTTTGTCATTTTTAAATGCTATCACTTTTAATCATATTGATTTGGACACACAACCTTCTGATCTGGAATCAGATGTTCTACCGTTGCACCACAAGGTCTTATATGTGGATTTCTGGAAGAAGGCTCATAATGATCCAGAAAAAAAATCAGAATCTAGTGGATCAGTAACTTCTTGTTGTGTGACAAAAATATTAAAGGGAACTTCCTTGACCGGGAATCCAACCAGAGCAATGGTGGTGAAAGCACAGAATCCTAACCACTAGACCATCAGGGACACACAATCATGAATATTTTTTCGGCCATCATTTTTTTTGCCATTTTAAAATGCTAACACTTTTATTCATATTTCCTGCAAATTTCCAGTAATGTCTTTTTAAATATCTAGAAGAGCAAAACTCAAATCATATTACTTTTAGAAAACTTTTTAATATTAAAGTTTTCTGAACTCCCAGCATTGACCTTGATGTGACTAAAAGTTTTCTGAACTCCCAGCAATGACCTTGATGTGACTTGAACACACAACCTTCTGATCTGGAGTCAGACGCGCTACCGTTGCGCCACAAGGTCTTATTATGATAATTTATTGAAGAAGGCTCATAACGATCCAGAAAAAAATCTGAATCTATTGGATCAGTATCATGTTGTCCTGTATAAAAAATATTAAAAGTCACTTCCCTGACCGGGAATCGAACACGGGCCGCTGCGGTGAGATCCTGACCACTAGACCATCAAGGACACACAATCATCACTATTTTTTTGGCCATCATTTTTTGCCATTTTTAAATGCTATCACTTTTAATCATATTGATTTGGAAACACAACCTTCTGATCTGGAATCAGATGCACTACCGTTGCACCACAAGGTCTTATATGAGGATTTCTGGAAGAAGGCTCATAACGATCCAGAAAAAATCAGAATCTAGTGGATCAATAACTTCTTGTCGTGTATCAAAAATATTAAAGAGACTTCCCTGACCGGGAATCGAACCCAGGCCACGGCGGTGAAAGCGCCAAATCCTGACCACTAGACCATCAGGGACACACAATCATCAATATTTTTTTGGCCATCATTTTTTTTGTCATTTTTAAATGCTATCACTTTTAATCATATTTCCTGCCAATTTCCAGTAATGTCTTTTTTATTATCTAGAAGAGCAAAACTCAAATTATATTACTTTTAGAAAACTCTATAGTATTAAAGTTTTCTGCACTCCCAGCATTGACCTTGATGTGACTAAAAGTTTTCTGAACTCCCAGCAATGACCTTGATGTGACTTGAACACACAACCTTCTGATCTGGAGTCAGACGCGCTACCG